GATTGTAGTCCGTAAAACCCCGCTGTGCGCGTGAGCTGGTCATATGGCGTACGTACGCGTAGAAAGAGCTTTCATCATTGTGCCGTTGTTGTCTGCATTGTCCATCATGAAATAGCCCACTTTCGAGGCAATCCCATGGTCGTTGATAATTTCCATAACACAGTCCGCCATATTTGGGCCCGAGTGCTTGCCGTCGAGTTCTCTTAAAGCCAGAACGGAGTATTCCAACAGGCCAGATTCGGATATGTAGTGTGCAACAATGCCAAGAATCGCAAGGGTATTAGGTGAAGTCCAGAGATCAACTGTGAAGTGTATTTTCGAGAGAGCTGACTGGATCTCGCGTTTGACTCGAAGTTTCTGGGTCTCGTATGTCCGCAAGGTCCAACTGCGTATAGTTGAGGGAGAGCTTGGCAGCCAGTTATCGATCTCTGGATTCAGGTAGCAAAGTAGGGTCCTAAATTCTGACAGCGTTGCCATGCGGAATGAGACGCTACAGGTTGTGATCCATCGTACGTATAGTTGTTCGACAACAGCGGGGTCTAAATGGTGAGTTGCAACCGTAGAGAGACAGCGGCGTTTATAATCGGTGGTTTGCTGGGCCTTTTCGAAGGCGTCGACGATTGTGGCTTGCATCAATGCAGTTCGGGTTTCTTGGGTAGAAGATATATCGATATTATGCCGGTCCTTCAAATGAGTTAAAATAACAGTTGTTCCACCAGACTCGAGATACTCTTTTGTGCAGTACTTGCAGCGCCATATTGACTTTCCCTTCGCATTGAGAGTAACCTCATTGCGGGCAACAGGTGTATAGTGCCACACTTTCGAGTAGCGCCTTTTCGTAGCAGCCGAGNAACGGAAGCAAGAATAAGAAAAGGAGAGCTTGAAGGAGCTCTGAGATTGGAGCCAATCTCGCTTGCCAGGGGATCCCTGCCCGGGCTGCCCAGGAAGGAACCCTAAAGCGCAAGCTGGAACATGCCTTCGGGCCTAACCTATAGCGCCTTGAAGACGCAGATATTTGACCTTTGTTGTGCTTCTTGAGTCATGGAAGTCAGTATGTTCCAGCATCAATACGGCCATATATGGTCATATCCCGGATGCCGATATCATACGGCGACCATATGAGATTATGGGATATGATACGGCCACCATATCATATGATATGGTAATATCAATATATGGTAATATATATTACCATATGGCAAATACTATTGGACACACTGATTGTTTTTCGCGTTGTCGAGCGTGAAATAGCCAATCTTGTCTTGGATCTGGTACGATTCAATTACGTCGAGGATTTCGGCGGCAATGTTTGGCCCTGTGTGCTTAGCGCTGATTTCGGGAAGCCCTAGCGTAAGCTTACAAGGCTTGTTGTTTTCGTCCCTGTAGAAGCAACATATACCATATAAGGCATGTCGGTTTCCGGACCGCCAGCCGTCGAAGGACATGTGGATAAGACCAGGCGCCT